TGAATTCAGAAACTTATATTTCTTCCAACTAGACTCCTTTGAGGTGTGAGAAGTTCCTTTGATCCTTAGTATGGTGATTCAAAGATTTAAAAGTTGAGAATCTGAGTTAGATGGTTGCGGAGCTCATGGACACTTAGGTCATACTTTTGACTCTTACTAAATGACTGTACTTATACTATTATATTTGTATAGTTATTTTTAAACGTATATGAATGTTTATAATACATATCTAAGTATTTAAGGATATGTAAGTAGTAGATTTTTCGTTGTTAGTTGGTGATTTCACAAAGTATAACGGTCATGGTAAGTTGTGAAAATATTAACACTATATATTACTGTGTGTATTAGACTATCAAAATTATTTTCAAGCCAACATCAAACATGACTTTTGTAATTTAGTGAGAGAAACTTTCACTCTCTTATTTGATGCTCTAAATATTTTTTTTCTCTCTTTCAAAAATACATTTCACATGTTAATAATGTAAATAGTATAATTATTATTTTTCCTTTAGTTGTATTTGACTAAAAAAATTAAAATTTTCAAAGAATTTTAAATGCTTGAATTTTGAATTGTTTTTTATTTAAATTTTTCTACTTTTAGAATTTTTTTGATAAATTAATTTAAATTTCTTAAAACAAATAAAATTTCACCATATACAATTTTTAATAGATATATGTTTAAAAATAAATTTATATTTTTACCAAAAAAATAGTCAATTTTAAACTATTTAAGAATTTTTAAATTAATATAAATAATTAGTAATTAAATAATATACATATTTATCATCTTTCATTTATAACAATCTTAATGAAATGAGACAAAAAGTTAACATTGAACTTTTTTAAATAAAAAAATAAATTAAACATTTTAAAAATAATGAGACAAAATTGAATAATAATTAACAAAATCTTAATAATCTTGATTGAATATCATAAAACTTATTTATTTTTATTTAAAAGCATTTATTGGAAACTTAAAAAAACTTGTTTTATGATAATTTAATTTTTTAAATTTCAGTTCAATACATTCTTCTCGAAAAATAATGTCAATAAAATTAATATATTATATATATATATATATATATATATATGTATATGTGTGAATTAATATTTTAACTAGCAAGCTTCTCGTTCAATGCACGCCTACATTCTATATCGATAAAAATGTGAAAAAAATATGAAATTAAAAATTATAAAAGTATTTAATTGAAAAATTAATTTTGTAATAATAATAAATATAATACATACATTTAAAAGTCACTCAAATTATAAAAAAAATATATAATCACCAGTTAAGCCACACTTTACAACTCAGCTATCTGCGGCAGAAAACATAAATATTACTATCTAAAGTTAACATGTAAGTAATGTTTGGATATACATTCGATAATATATACATGTGTGTAAAAGTTTCACTAACAATTGTAATAATAAAATAAACTCTTCCATGTGATTGCAACTATAACTATGCATCA